TAGGAAGTGGAGAGGAAGTAGAAGAAAAGAAATAAAAGGAAACAAATAGAAAGATAGGGAGCAAAAAAAAAGGTGGTAGTAGGAGGAGAGCTGCAGAAGTAAAAAAAGAGAAGACAATAAGTAAAAGAGGGAGAAGATGCAGTAGGAGGAGGAGACAGAAGACGAGGAGAAGAACCGAAATAAAAACGAGAAGATATTAAATAGTAGACGAAGAAGATGCCAGGAAAGGAGTAGTAGTAGAACACAGATAAAGAAGAGGAGGAGAAGAAAATAAATACAAGGTGGTAGAAGAAGAAGAAGAAGAAGAATGGAAGGAGAATGGAAGAAGAATGGAAGAAGAAGAAGAAGAATGGAAGGAGAATGGAAGAAGAAGAAGAAGAAGAAGAAGAATGGAAGAAGAAGAAGAAGAAGAAGAAGAAGAAGAATGGAAGGAGAAGAAGCAGAAAACGATGAAAGGAGGAGAACAGGGAGTAGGACAAGAATGAAAACGAGAAGAAAATAAATAGAAAGAAGTGGAGTAGAAGATGAAAGCAGCAGAAGAAGAAGATTGGATTTTTACGGCTTATCAACCTTTTGTAAGTTATTTAAAGCCAGAAAACATTTTAGGCTTTTAATAATTTTTTTTTAGATAATACTGATTTATTGATCCAAGTTCTACTATTTAACCCATAGCTGGAGAAGGAGACGAAGCAGAAGGAGATACAGTCGTACATTCTCTAATATTTTGTCTTAAATTCTACCCTGCTCTTCTCTCTCTTAATGTTATTTGCCAAAGACTTCTGACTTGTCTTTATCAAGAAAACTAAACTCCCTGAAAAGGACAGTTTTTAAATCAGAATGATCTTTCTCCTAGACTGGCTACCAACCAAAGCTCAATCTATCCTGCGACATAAACCCAAACCAGAAATATTTCACGAGCAAACACGAATTCTGTGCTGTCTGGCACCAATACGAAACTGATATCGAGGCAATGATCAATGTGATGAAACATTTTTTTTCTTTTTAATTATTCAGTGTTAAAGCCAGAGACAAAGATTTATTCGTCTTACAAGGAAAATAAATCACTCGTAAAACACTGACGCAAAGATATTTATAGAACTCTAAATGTTTTGGTTATGTATATAAATATATTTGCATCAAAATTTCTATATTCTTTATTCGGCAATGCCAAACCAATGCACCCGTGAAAAATTCCACAGAGATTAACACTTAAACCATCTTCATTTCTCCCGCATTTATTACGGTGATTAATTAATATATTAGTAATAAATTTATACGTTTTTCTTCATACCGGGCTCCTTCAGTACGTAGACGATTATGTCTCTCCACAGATTCTATTTCTTAATTATCTGTGAATTGCTATAGTTTATTTAGAAAGACAATGTACTGTTTTCCCTCGTTGCTTTCTTCATAGCCGGATTTGCGGGTAGTTTAATGCTCAGAATTAGAAATCTGAGGGACGAGTTCGAATTTCTGACGTTTCGGTACATTCACTTTTGTGAGATTACTCTTGGGAAATAGAAGAATCCATCTATTCCCCCACCAAACAATGGGTTAAATAGTGGAAATTGTATCAAGAAAAATCGTTGTTATTTGCCAAAAAATTGATATCCCCCACCAAAAAAAAAAAAAAAAAAAAAAAAACAGTTAATGCAATATCCACTCATCCCATAAAAAATTCTTAAAATCCAAAATATGTTTTTATTCAAATAACTAAAAAAAGGGGCGGTAAGCCGTAAAAAATAACAAATCAGTCAAAGCAATGCCTTCTTCATGCTTTTGAATTTAGAGTTTTCTTTTTCATAGACTGATTGCCAACCAACGTTAGAGAGCATCGTGTACGCTGGTATTTAGCCCATTGCTAGAGGGTAAGTATATAGATTCATGTATCATCAAATATTAAAAGTTTCGTCGAACACTTGAACCTGGTTTTCATTAAAGAAAACCACCGCCAATTAAATCATTCTGCAGAGATTGCTAGGTGCTAGGTCGGCTGAATGTTGCCGGTGAGGTAGAACAGACTAACCGAGTTCCAAACTTTTTTCCTATGTTGTTCTATCAATATATAAACCTTGCATTATCATGGAGAACGGCATTTTTCATTTAATACTCTGTGTACGCTGCCACTGTAATTAATTGCTGAGGTATTTTAGGGTACTTCAAATTTATTCTTAAATGCAATGTAGTACAGTGGCCTAAGAAATGTTTTTATACATGAGAAATAAAATACATCTAATTTCAAAATTTTATTACGTAATCCCAACTCAACATAAATAAAGAGTATTTCGAACTAGTATGGAGTAGGTCCTCCATTTGTTAGTTTCAGTACTTGCATTCGATTTTTCACGGATTTGATCAAGTTATCAACAATCGTCTGATCCATATTTTGCCACTCCTTTAGCAATATTTCTTTAAGGGTTGCCACTGACGTGATTTTGGTTGCAGGCTCTCGAAGTTTTCGGTCAAGGTGGTTCCAAACTTACTCTATTGGATTCATATCAGGACTTTAGGCTACCCATGGCAGTGACTTGATTCCTTGCGATTACTTCCAGGCCTTTCTACTTTGTTCGTATGACATAGCGCTCCATCTTCTTGAAAAAGGTAGACTTTCTTGTCAATCTGATTGGGTTCAGATACTGGGAGTAATCCTTTCTTTAATATTTGACATTATTTTAGACCATTCAACCGCTCGTCAACAAGAATCAGTTCAGATTTTCCTCCATACCAGAGCACCCCACACTATTACTCCAATCCATCCTAATTTCACTGTCGTCTGCAGAAATTCAGTGTTCCAAGTCTCATTCTAATTTCCCCAAACATAAACCTGCCGCGAATTCGAATATTGGCAGAATTTGCTTTCATCTGACCAAATTGCAGACTGCCAAAATTCATAATATTTGCTCTCGAATTCTCTTGCCGAGTCCATACGCCTGTTCCTGTTAACCTCTGAAATCAAGGGCTTCTCTGTTGCAACTCTTCATTGGTAGCCTAGCTCTTTCATAGTCTTTCTCACTGCATATGGCGACATATCCATGCTGTTGGCGACATTTTCGAAGCTCTGAAGACGGTTTCTGATGTGTTCCCTCTTCAGCGCCCTTTTCCTTCGCTCAGATACGATGTTTGGTCTTCCTGAACGTTGTTCCACACGACAATGGCCTTCTTCATTAAATTTCTTGACAATATTATTAACCGTTTGATGATTAACCTCGAACAACCTAGAGATTTCTCTATTTGACTTACCACACTGATGCCATCCTATTATTTGCCCTCATTGAAATTCACCAATCTCCCTACTTCCGCGAACTTTCATTGCAAAATATAAGTCAGCTATCGTTCATAGATGAGAATAGCTTGATACTAACACAGTATTGTCTGAAAAAAATATTACACAAGCCAAAATTGCTGTAAACAAAGGTGACTAAAAACTTATCATAGCCCACTGTAGAAGGCATCCATTTATCTCTCTACATAATGGTAGCGCTCTCTTTGGCCGAACCTTCAGTCTTTCTGCTAGCAGCCTTTTGGAGTTGGCTTAGGCTAATCTTTGCATGACACACTCTTCTGCAGATGTGACAAACGAAACTGTAATGTGGAATGAAGATTCTGGCATTGCTCTCTCTGCTTTTTTCGCTGTCTTCTAATCTACAACAGTTGGTTTCGCCTCTTCTGGGCTTCCGTGACTCCTGCTCCAACAGCATGGCATCAGCCACTGCAATCGTCTGCTAGCTGTTTCCACCTACAAGAGTCGATGCCTATGAGTTTCAGTAATTGTAGTTAGGATGATCCATTCGCCAATTGGTTGCCCCAGACGGAAATTCTTTAAGTCTTAAGCAAATGACAAGAAACAAAGCAGTAAAAAGAATGGATGTATTATTTTATTTAGCAGGTGTTGGAAATTGCTTTATAGCAATCAATGAAACTTCCATATTCTTTATTCGGCAATGTCGAACCAAAGGTCATAATGTACTCATTTTCAAAAAATATAATCAGGATGAATCAAATGTGCGTCTTAGAATCCGGGGAGTTTTCAATGATGGAAAAGTTCGCTTCACCCTCCCGTCTATGGTCATTTTGCGTCGTCATTCACAATCTGATTTTCCACCTTTACCAAATGAAACTTTCGAACGTATTCCTGTTATCCATTTACTGGTATGCCAGTAGGTATTTGGTATAATGGTCAAAGTCTACAAGTATGAACCAGGTTTTACTTAAGGAAATTCAATATTGGATATAAATACAATATTCCAAGTTTAGGAACATCTTACTCCAGCATCTTCGCAATTTTGAGATTCCCATTCAACTAGGGGGCAATCCAGCAAGGAATCCTCGTAGCCAACGCAATCAATAAAATCTATTAATGCTGGGCCAAGTGGGTTTTCATTTGGTGGGACTTTGTACATAGTACCGTTTCTGAAATGAACAATGTACAGTGTTAGACTGACATGGATATATAGTTGCCTAATAAATACATATATTCAAAGAGGTAGATAAGCAAAGATTGAGATATAGTGCTATGTTTCTAAATGGATTTTAAGAAAATAAGCTTCTTATACATGCTGTATTCTTTCTGAACGTAAACAATCATGGCTCTCCAAACTTTCCTGCCCTTTCTAGTTCTTAGTAAATTTTGTCTTTTCTCTTCTAATCGCACTTATGCCAACCATTTACACGGGTAGGTTATACCCTCTTGCATTCAATATGTCCTGTTAGTGTCAAATTTTCTATGCCCTCTTTCCTCATTATGTGCCCTAGAAATTTCACCTGTTCCTTTCTGAAGGCGCATTGGAATAGCGAATGATGCCTTCCTAAAGCTAAGTAAAGGAAGAACTGTACTAAACTGTTAGATAACATAGGTTCTCTCCTATATGACTGTGAAGGCTGAAAGATTCTTGAAATTTGATGCAACAGAAATGTAGTTCTACAGAAAGATGAGAATATCTTCGACTGAATACGTGAGCAACGATAAAGGTTTAGAGAAAAAGCAAACAAAGTGTACACATTTAGTGAGAATAAGGAAAAGATGAGCATATGAGAATAGGTAAATATTTGAGTGATACGGATAGATAGATAGATAGATAGATAGATAGATAGATAGATAGATAGATAGACATAAACTATTAGATAGACAGTTTAATAAATAAAAACAAACAGACAATAGGGATAGATGAGAATAGGTACACATATTGATTGAACCGAATAGATAGACTTATAGGAACAGGTGATAGATAGATAGATAGATAGATAGATAGATAGATAGATAGATAGATAGATAGATAGATATTTCAAAAAATAAAAACAGAGGATAGGGATAGATGAGAATAGGTACACATGTTGATTGAACCGAATAAATAGTCTTATAGGAACAGGTGATAGATAGATAGATAGATAGATAGATAGACAGACATAAACTATTAGATAGACAGTTCAATAGATAAAAACAAACATAGAATAAAGATAGATGAGAATAGGTACACATGTTGATTGAAACGAAAAGATAGTCTTATAGGAACAGGTGATAGATAGATAGATAGATAGATAGATAGATAGATAGATAGATAGACATAAACTATTAGATAGACAGTTCAATAGATAAAAACAAACAGAGAATAGGGATAGATGAGAATAGGTACACATGTTGATTGAAACGAATAGATAGTCTTATAGGAACAGGTGATAGATAAATACATAGATAGAAACAGTGATGCGAATAGGCAAATAGAAATAGACACTTTGAAGGAGACAGAAACGAATAAACTTAGACTGATATGAACAGGATATTCACACACACACACACACACACACACACACACACACACACATATATATATATATTTGTTTTTACGGATTATCGACATTTTACATATTATTTAAAGCCAGAAAATGCTATTAGATTGTAATAATAAAAATATTTCTAAATTGTAAGATTTAATGATGATTTACTGATACACGTCTTATTAAGTAACCCAAAAGTGTGGGGAAGACGCGGTGGATTCATGCCTTACCCAAGAGTATTGGCGCGTAAGTGCATACAAGGAACACGACTGAAATTGGAACTCGGTTCTACCGATTCACAATTCCGACCTCTTACCTATTAGACTATCCACACATCCAAGCTATTCGCAAGGGTTCACCCATCTAGGTACTGACCATTCTATATATATATATATATATATATATATATATATATATATATATATATATATATAGATATAGATATAGATATAGAGAGATAGATAGATAGATAGATAGATAGATAGATAGATAGATAGATAGATAGATAGATAGATAGATAAAGTGATTGGGAAGGGAGACAGAGAAAGAAACAGACTGAACGGTATATTGACGAATATATTTAAATACACTGATATGAACAGGGGAAAGAAAGAAAGAAAGAAAGAAAGAAAGAAAGAAAGAAAGAAAGAAAGAAAGAAAAGGTGATTGGGTATAGATAAAAATAGACAGCCTGAACGGGATATAGACGAATAGACAAATAGACTGATATGAACAGGACATAGATAGATAGATAGATAGATAGATAGATAGATAGATATAAAAGGTGTTTGGGAATAAACAAAGAAAAAGAGACCACCTGAACGGGATATCGACTAATAGTCTTAAATAGACTGATATGAACAAGAGATAGAAAGAAAGAAAGAAAGAAAGAAAGAAAGAAAGAAAGAAATTAAGAAAGAAAGAAAGAAAGAAAGAAAGAAAGTAAGAAAGAAAGAATTGATTGGGAATAGACAAAGAGAAAGAGACAGCCTAAACGGGATATAGACGAATAGACTTAAATAGACTGACATGAACAGGAGATAGATAAATAGATAGATAGAAACAGTGATTAGGAATAGACAAAAAAGAAGAAATAGTCCGAAAGGGACAGAGAAGAAGAAAATGAAACAGACTTGTAAATCTAGTGAGACTGATTCTGACCAAAAAGGCGTAGATAAAAATAGAACCGTAGATAAAATAGAGTACGTATATTTTCACAATACTATCAAATCTATCGATCGATTGCGAGGCAGCATGATATTATTCCGGGCTTGAGTGGTTACAGACAGAAAGAGAGATTATATCAACAAATAGATTATACGTTGTGAAACTAAGAACCAGTTACGCATGATAAAATACAGATAATTAAACCCCAAATGAATGACCGCGTTTGTTTTTTGCTATATAGTTTTTTTTTTAAGCAAGCTTTTTCAGGTTCCGATGGTGGTCGACTCTTTCGAATGAATGACTACAGAAAAATGTATCTGCCGAAATTTGAAATTGGATCCAGTATCCAAACCTGAAGCCATTTTTTATGAAATATGTTCCGGTAGAGAAAATAGAAACAACAAGAACACTTACACTTAGCCTCAATTTAGGTTTCTGGGGTACATAATGAGGAAAGTAGGTTTCGAAAATTTGACACTCACAGGACTTAATGATGACTAGAAGAAAGCAGTGAACTAGGGTGAAATGGATAAATTATCGTATAAATTACGCAAAAAATGAATATAACACTGACATCTCAGATATATTTACCAAAAAAATGGGCACCTCGACGTGGTGTAATGGTTAGAAAGCTTTTTTTTTTTTTTTTTTTTTTTTTTTAAGCATTACGCCCCGAGCAAGGCGTGAAGCCACTAGGATGCAGGGGGTTGCGGAAGATTTGGAGCAAGAGCAGATAGGAGTGATAGAAGAAAGGATGAGGAGAAGGACAGTGGTAGATCAAGGTAACTGGAGATGGCGATTGACATTACATTTGAATAGTTGGAGATTATAGCTTTCAGGGAAACAGTAATTGGGGAGGGTGTTCCACTGGCGAGAGGTGCGAGGTATGAAGCTATTGGAGTAGAAGAGACGACTACATTTAAAAGTTTCTACAGTGTAAGGGTGAGAGCAGGATGCCAGCCTCGTAGGGCGCTTGAATTCATGAAGTCTGGGAACCAGTGAAAGCAGCTCATCGGAGCAATTACCATGAAAGTATTTGTAGAAAAGACAGAGAGAGGCGACGGCGCGTCTGTGAGAGAGTGACTGCAGACGAGACGCTAGATTAGGGCCAGGAAGAAGCAATTGACTCACTGTATTTGTTCCATCTCAGGTCAGCAGTCAGCGTGAGACCGAGCAGACGCAGGGAGTTGCTCTCAGGAAGTTGACTATCAGACATTTTAATGGGGAGCAGGGAAGGAGTCTTGCTAGATCAGTTACGACTGAGTAGTGAGTTCAATCCTCACTGGGTGCTCTATACTTTCGGCCTTGTGCCACATCTAAGCCGGGCTTAGAAAATCACTATATTTACCAAAATGTCATAGAAATATCTTGAAATACTAAAGAGTAAAATGTATTCAATATAATCGCCATTGGTTTCAAACACGCCTTCAGACGACTTCGGAATCCCCTGAAATTTTTCTGGAAAGTCTCCTTGTTTAAGTTGGTGCTTTATCCTTGCCTTTGGTTCATCTTTGGTGTTACTAGGAGTTTTGTTGATCTTTTGCTCAACTGCGCCCCACATAATAACTGTGGAGTTAGTAGCCAGGGGTGATGTGGTAGCAGAAATTGTCTGACAGACATGACTGGGTTCCCCTGCTTGTGTGGCATTGCCAGACATAGGGTCTTCCAACAAACACCCTCTTGACTCAGGCCAGCACTACCTCCTCAAGGCACTTGATGTAAGCCTCCGTGTTGAGTTTGAGGCCTACACCAACAAAATCGAGATTTCTTATCAGAACGATCAGGGTGTGTTTTCCGAGCTGCCGTTCCTTCGTAATCACCATTATACTCATCCAACTCTTTCTAAATCCTCTGCACTGTGCTCAGATTGAAACCTAAACACTCTGAAATGTTTGTATTGGAGCTTCCAGTGCGAATGCCAAGCAATACAGCATGCCGTTTCTAAATTTCAGGCGGAGTGAATTGCATCATGGTGCTCTTTTTCTAACACATGGTGTTGAGGTTTCGTCAAAATTCAGTACTTTTGTGGTGGCCCTATGTCTATCACATGCATACGTACTCGGACATTTGGACACATTGACACATGTATGCGCCCAGTCCCACACTGTTCATATATGTATATGCTTGGGTGAAACAGAAAGTGACATAAATAGATCTAAAATTTAAAAAAAAAATCAGTTTGTCTGACGATGGCAAGGGCGTGAAATCCATGGTCACAAATATATATATATATATATATATATATATATATATATTTAGTTTGATTGATGTGAGTTTGTTTCATGCTATTTGAGATCGTCAGTCGTTGTCTAACGATCGCAAATAATGTGAAACCCAGGGTCACAAACTCACATCAATCAAACTAAATTAGCTCTATCACTGATATTGAACTTTTTCCAATAAATACCGCACATATATAATATATAAATAATATATATAAAAATTGCACATATACATATATATATATATATATATATATATATATATATATATATATATATATATATATATGTATATATATATACACACACACACATATATATATATTTATATATATATATGTATGTATGCATGTATGTATGTATAAGAGTTGAAAGAAACAGAACCAGCATTAAAAAAGACTAATATAGTTAATTATGATCTAAATCTCACTTATATATATATATATATATATATATATATATATATATAAAAAAAAGAACAGTAAGATATATAATCCGATGTTCTTATTGATATTTTTATTTTATTTTTACAAAATAGTGCTCAATGTAAATTTACAGAGCATTAATATTATAAATTAGCTAGTGAAACTTTTTTTTTCGCTACACAGTAATAACCATGTTTCAAAAATGGAAGCTTAAAGCTTCAAATTTAATTTATAAAAGCGTTAGTTCCATTTCATCCTCACGCCAATTATATATACATACATACATATATATATATATATATATATATATATATATATATATATATATATATATATATATATATATATAGAATAGAGATAAAGTGACAAATAGAAACAGCGGGAGAAAAAAAGAGTATGCAGATAATAATAGAGGAGGGTGACACATCGATAAGAAGAAATTGTCGTTATTCTTTTCCCGCAATCATCTCTGATGATGGCTTCAATAGACATTGAAATATGAACAAGATTTTCAACTTCACCCATCAAGATGTGATTGCCTACGAGACGTTTTTCAAAATTACTTTCATCTCTTCTTTTTAGTGTTCTGTTTGGTATTGGCGTCGACTTTCACGCTGACAAACGTTACCTTAAAATAACTGAATTCAACCTCTCCTAAATGCAGCGAACGATAAATACTGAGGAGTAACAGAAAGTGACTACTAAATTATAGACTTGTTGAAAGTTGTTAACAGGCATTAATTAGTAACTGGTTTGTTTTATTTAATTTGAGGGCAGTAACCTTGCCAAGGTAGCGAGTTCAATTACAAAGGGTATCACCTCAAGGATATCTTCGGCTGGAATAGAAATAATAATTTTACTATGGACTAATGTGAACCAGACAGAACTACAACAACAACAGTAATGCTGACTGAAATTGCATTGACTCTTGAGCAAAACAATATGGATCCCTCATGTCTGAGAAATGGCACGGAACGCAAAGCAGTGAGTGAAATGGAAAGGGCAGTCAAGGCAAAGATAGTCGGCGACTATGATTTTCAAACAACTCTTCTTATTAAACACTAGAGACCATATATATTTGTCCCCAACACAGCTGAAAATGGATAGCAAATAACTGACGTAGGTACAACCTGCAGACAACAGCAATGCTATTAGACAAAAAATAAGCAACTACTTTGATCTTTGAGATTATGGGAAATGCTGGAGAAAATATTAAAGTCCCCATCCCATTGAAGTTTACAGAATATGTCGACCAACTTTGCGAACAGTACAAAATCTAATTGGGTTCAGCAAGCATACTTTGAAAAGTACTATGAGGTCCATGTTCTTCTGGACAGGCAGTAGCTTCCGTGGTACTCAAGATTTCTACACGACGACAGCACTACGATACTTTCAGAAGATATATTTTTTACAGTAACGTTCACCCTGTACAAGGCCCGAGGTCCACTCGAGGGATAGGATTACGTTAGGAGGCCATTTGTGTGTATAGGAGAGGAAGGTAACGGTTAACCCTAGACTTGAACTGGTTAAGTGACCCAAGAAACATCCTCTTTGGATTCGGGTTCACAGAACTGTTGTTCTCAGGAAGAGTGCAAATTACTTCTCGCCGATGAAATACAGAGGGAATGTGGGTGATTTGTTACTATGTAAGTGGCATGGCGGATCCTAGTCGTGAAAGTTAGACCTGAAGGAACAAAGGAATGCAGTTCTTCCGAGCACTTTCTGTGAAAATAACGATAGAGGAGCGAGCGGCTTGCCACATCTCACCTGTTGGAACGGTTGGAAGGTGGGAAATGATTCGCCACACAAGAAGACTTAGAGACGCTTTTGAACTCTATCGAGGTCAGAAAGTGTGGTTTGTTCAGCTGCGCCCAAATGTGATAACAGTACTCCATTCTTGACCTGATCTGGTTCTTGCAAAGGGAGAGGATAGTATGTGGAATCCGGTACTTACTGGAGCAGTACAGGGAGCCGAAATAATAGTAGTGATAATAATAATAATATGTACATGTTTTGTCTTGGCCAATTAAAATAGATTACATTATTTACATTATTCGGACTATTGTCCTCATCTTTGTCGTCATATTTATCACAACGTTTCGGCCGTTGTACGCTCCGGCCTTCTTCAGGTGGTTGGAATGTCGAACTGAACCCTTTATTTCGTTCACTGGGGTAG